CCAATCAGAGTCAGTGTACCCAAAGACTTGCTCACCACCCTGTCGCTCATACAGGATCACCTGGGTGGCTGTCTCGACCAAATACCTTAGTGCTCTCAAAGCAGCATGCAAGTGAATGCACCTGGGTGCAATACATGACTGCGCAAATGTGTTGATAATGAAAGGGAGGTCACGGCGAGTGAGCACAGCAGCAAACATAAGACTGCCGATGAGACTCTGGTATACCTTGATGTCAGCAGGCGAGCCTTCGTTAGCAGACCATGTACCTTTCCTTATCTTAGTGAGATCATTTGGTGACATAGGAGTACGCACCCTATGAGTCTCCCCCAACAGATCACCAAAGCTAACCTGAAGTCCACGAACATACTTCTCTTGCCCAATCTCCAGCGATCCACCCTAATGTGACCTGCGTACTTCCACCCCAAGGTACATAGACACCTCGCCGAGATCCTTCATCTGGTACTTGTCGGCAAGGGTTTTCTTGGCCTAATTGATCAAGTCCAGGCGTGGGGAGACCAGTAAAAGGTCATCCATATACACCAGCACATACACAGGGTCCTCATCCACGAATCGGATGTACAGTGCCTCATCACATGCATTGCGACTAAACCCTGCAGCTACATTGTGGCCCCAATCTCCTCGTTCCAAGCACGAGGTGCTTGCTTGAGTCCATAAAGGGCCTTTCGCAAGCGGTACACCTTATCTATACCATTGTCGAAACCCTCAAGCTTCCTCACATATACCTCTTCCTGCAGGGGTGCATTCAAGTAAGCATGGTTGACATCATCTTAATGTACATGCCAACCTTGTACTAATGCTTCTACAAGAAGCACCCGACCTGAGGCCATTTTGCCGACAAGGGCAAAAACCTGATCATAATCCTTGTCAGGCTCTTGGGTATAGCCTTTAGCAACAAGGCGAACCTTGTGCTTTACCACCTTGTACTCCTGATCCATTTTCTAGTGGAAAACATACTGGGTATCAATGGCCTTTTTACCTGGAGGCAAGTCAACCGGCTCAAGATCCCGCACCCCCATCGTGCTCATGGCAGTTACCTCCTTCTTAGCCCCAACATCCCAAGATGGACCCTTAGGGCCGTGCTTTGCCTCAGCCAGTGTGCGCGGCAAATCACTAGTGCTCACACCTGCTAGCGCAACACCCTCCACCTCCTTGGCCAAGCAAAGCATGCCCGGACCTGCACCAGCATCCCCCCCTACCTCCTTACCACCGAAACCTGACTAGATACCAAGGACCTGCAAACCTGTCACAGGTGGTGGGGAGGGAGTGGCTAGTGCTCCAGACGCACTAGCAAAGGGAAGAGGCGTGCTCAGACCAGAATAGGAGGAGGTGGAGGCAGGTATCGCGACACCGCTTGGAGGAACAACATCGAATGGCTGCTGCACGTTGGCAGGCTGTACCGACATACTCGTCGGTGCCGACACACTCGGCAGTGCCGACACCCGTGGCTGGGCCGACGACGGAGGCATGTCGGCAGAATCTTCCTCTGCTCCAGGGCACTCGAGGGGGAGTGGAAGGAGCTGAGAGATGGTTGCAGCATCTTGCCTCATTTCCCCAAAGGCTTTGGCCGTCTCCCAATCCTTCCACATCACATTCTCGAGAAAGTCGACATCTCAAACAGTGCGGATGCGCATGAGAGAAGGGTCCAGCATCCTTCATCCTTTACTCTCCATGTCCAACCCGACACAAGCGCACATAACAGCCCTTGCATCCAGCTTCCCACCTCGCAACTGTCCATGCAACATGACACTCCACATGCAGCCCCAAACCCAAGCCATGCCGACATGCGGCTTAGCGCCTGATCAGGCCTTTATAGGAGCAATGAGGACTGGTAATGCACTATGGGGTACCCGATTCTTGACCCACACCACCCACATCAAGGCCTCACCCCACAGGCGCGCCGGAGGTCTGCTGTCGACGAGCAAGGTGCGAATCCCCTCTGCCATTGTCCGGTGCCACCGCTCTACCACCCCATTCTGCTGCGGCGAGTCTGCTACAGTCAGATGAGTTTGAATGCCAAGCTCACTCTTCCATGCCTTCTCAACTTTCCCTAGAAATTCACCACCCCTGTCTGAGCGAATCACTTTCAGTTTTCGCCCTGACTCCCGCTCCACATCTTTGTGCCACTTGCAAAGGACCAATACCACCGTGGCGGATTCCTTGTTGGGGAGTGGAAACGCCCAGACCCGCCTGGTAAAGTCGTCAATGAGGTTGAGCACGTATACCGCTCCTCCCAAGGACAAAGTGCGCACAGGACCCTAAAAGTCCATGTGAACCTAATCAAGTGGTCCAAGGGCTCGTGATGCCTCATGAGGAAACGGTTTCCTTGCTGACTTCCCCAACAGGCATGACTCACAAGGGGGCAATCTGCAGCTGCTCCCCCGATATCCAACCCAATCACACTGCTGCCCCTGGCCATCTGCTGCAGTATAGTCGGCGCGGTATGACCAAGTCGGCGATGAGCAAGTGTGAGAGGAGAGAGGGAGGTGGATGGCTGAACTGCGAGATCCTTGCCTTGAATACTTCGAGCCAGTGGAAGCGGCATCCGCAAGAGCCCATGATCCCTTCCACCCTCATTCTCTCCTGTCGCCAACACTCGCTCCCCCCTCTTTAGCACACATCTCGTGCCCTCAAACAAGACACTGACTCCTCTCGATGTGAGATGTGGGACAAACAAGAGACGAGTGTGCAACTCAGGAACATAGTGTACCTTTTGCAGCCTTAAAACTTGACCACCTTCACCAACCACTGATACCTCACCCATACCCTTAGCGGCAACCACTTTTCCATCGCCCAATCTCACTCCCTTGATTTCAGGTGGGCCCAGCTCACTTTTAAAGTCAGTCGCATAGGGGGTGCAGTTATGGTTGGCTCCACTGTCAATCCACCACCCATCTCGCGGCTGCTGCCCTGCCCTTGACTGTTGCCCTGCTGCTGTCAGTGCCTCCACGGCTGCTATCTCTGCCAGATCCTCCTGCTTCTCCTTATCCACCATTTGTGCCTTCCTGTTGCACAAGCCACGCTGCAGGTGGAGTTCCTTCACCCGCTTGTATGCCTCAGATGCGCATGCAGAACTACGAGTAACAGCTCTCGGCTCCCTGTCGGCAGCAGCGTTGGCAAGCTCGGTCTTGCGGCCAACTTCATTTACCAAGCGAATCAACTCATCTGGTACCAAGGCATTGCAAAGCTGAGCTCATGCCTTTCGGTTTTTCCTATCCCACTTCCCCCGTGCATCGCCCGAGATTGATCGCTCCTCCGAACAATTATAGAATCCCCAAATGTGCTTCTGCCCATTGCTCGAACCGGAAGCTCTGAGTCCAATAATCATTCTCAACACCCTTGTCCTGCTCCATGCTCAGCGTAGCATCGGCGGCAGTGGCAACGTCGACTGCGGCAATGGTGGCGGTGACAGCGGCAACACCAGTAGTGGCGAGGGGAGCGGTGACGACTGCGACTGTGGTGTCGATGTCGACCGGGGCGATGTCGGCAGAACCACCCGTTCTGGGTTTATGGAGCGTAACTCCAAGCCCAGATTTCCTAATCACGATCTGTCTGCGGTTGCTGAATCCGTACTCCAAGGGCTTTCCAGGAAGGTATTAAGCCTTTAGTTTTCACAGCTAGTTTCCGCGCTTAAGTTGTCCGAAGTTTGTCTACCTGTCGTTGGCGAATCGACAAGTTCGATTCAAGTGAGATTTCTTGATGCTGCCTCCATTGTTCCCTTCAAATTTGGGATTGTTGGATGCGCGCTGACATCCTCTATTGGCGTCTGTGATCCACTCCCTTCCCCCTTGTCGTGATCAGCGGCTATTCGCGTTCTCCCATATTCTTCCGTTTTTCCTGTGACCAATTAAATTTCTTGATTTTCTCCTGATCCGCTAATCAGATGGCGACGACCTCAAGGCAAATGTTGTAAATCGTATTGAGCTCTTTCCAACGATGTGTTGGTCGAATCCAACGCTTGTCGTCGACTGAACACCCTTGAGAGAAGATGTCGCTCTTCTCGTCCTCCCAAGCGAATCAACTCGTTGCCCTGCGTGTCTCTCCTTCCCTTCACTGGTTCCGCGTCCAAGGTGTGCCACGACTATATACGGTGCGATTTCAGCAGCCCGCGGGAGCGGTAAAAGCTCTTTTGCTTCCACCAAGGAATGAGACTATGTTTTTTGGTAGGTCACTCTTCCGATGGGTCACTAGACCCCCCTTTGCTCTGATACCATGTTAAAGTGTCATAAAAGACTCATGGATCCTTAGAACTTTCTCCTAGAGTCTAGGATACTTAGGAAACATATCGAATACAAGAAGTGAGATCCAACCAAGACACAACTAGACCTAAAGGTGCTGGGAGTTTCCCCTTCCGAAGCATTCCCAACCCATCCAACCAAAGTACTCTACACTACCAACTTTGTAATCTAACATCTATATTTATGTTTATTGGTGGAACCTAGATACTCCCATATTTCCAACAAAGACAGCAACGGACAACCAGGTGCCTCTCGAGGATGTTTAGAATTCCTTGCTCCTATAGGTGTATTTGCAGGAACACCACCTGCGAAATGCGGGTGCATTCTTTTAGAGGGGGCTTTCTTGAGGGGGAGTGATGTAAGGAAAGCATTTTCCCTTACCGTGCATTTTGTGCATTAACGCTACATCTGTTGCCATCGGGCGTGCCTTGTTGCCACTTGTTCATCCGTTGCATGTTTCGTCGACCTTGTCCACGTCAGCACTGCCGAGTCAATTGCCAAATAAGCCCGTGCTCGTTGGGCCTGTGCTAGCTAAATATCGTAGCCACGTCACTAGACGTTTTCATAGCGCATTTCGCCTATAAATGCTTCGCATGTATTTAGCTTACTAGATATTCATGTTTTCCGCAACCGTTCATCCTCGCTACTAGGCGGTTCGGCTACACCCCGAAAGCGGATCCTAACACACCAGGAATCCACACGGGCATTTTCATGATTGAACCCCATTCCGCCTGCCATCCCGCATTTCTTTCATCAGCGTCAAGTCGCCGGCGTGGGATGACTAGCCTACGACGACTAGCCTGCTACGACTAGCCTGCGACGACTAGCCTGCGACGACTAGCTGCGACGACTAGCTTGCGACGAATAGACTGTGACGACTCGCCTGCGACCACTAGCTTGCGTGTTGCGATTTAGGTTCCCAGCATGCGTCACTGGTAGCCGTCACTGGCTGCCCGCCTCTCGCCCGTCGTCCCCCGCTGGAAGCCTCCCCTCGCCTCCCATGCGCGTCGCCATGCCGCTCCTCCCCCTCCTCCCGCTTCTCCTCCTCTTCCTCCCCCTCTCCCTCCCCGCCGCCGCCGCCGCCCTCGAGCGGCCGGGCGCCATCCGCGGGGCGGCAGCGGCGCGCTTGAATCGCTTGGCGGAGGACCCCCTGGCGGACGAGGACTCGTTCGCGCGGCTGGCGGAGGCGGACAAGCGGCGGTGGGCGCAGGGCGCGGCGGAGGAGGCGGGGCTGGCGGCGAAGATGCGGCGACTGGGGGAAGTGGAGGTGGTAACCCGCGTGCACGTGCGGCTGGTGGGGTTCGACGGGGACGGCGACGACAACCGCAAGCTCAACGTCAAGGCGGTGAGCGGCGGGGCGGGGGAATGGGATGAGAGGGAGGGACGGGGGGAGGGGGTACGGCGCTGAGGCATGCGACGCCAAGGGAGTGCCGTCGCTGGTGCTGCTCATGGCATGGCGGGAAGAAGGGGAGTAGGGAGCGTGGAATGGAGAGGAGGGGCGTAGGGAGCATGGAATGGGGAGGGGGGGCTGAAAGGGGAGAGCTGAGAGTGACGGGGTTGTTTCTGCTTGCTTTCAGTCCCCCAGTCTCTCCATCCCTCCCTAAGTCGCTGATCGCGGTGCGTGTGCAACCTTCCATGCAAACTGCGCCTGTTTTGCGTCACCACACCTGTTCCTGGCGCCACGGCTGCCACAGCAGACGCACGTGCGGTGCTGTTGAATGCGTGCTCCGTGGTGCTGTTGAATGCGTGCTCCGTGGTGCTGTTGAATGCGTGCTCCGTGGTGCTGTTGAATGCGTGCTCCGTGGTGCTGTTGAATGCGTGCTCCGTGGTGCTGTTGATTGCGTGCTCCGTGGTGCTGTTGATTGCGTGCTCCGTGGTATTGTTGAATGCGTGCTCCGTGGTGCTGCTATGTGATGCACGGATGGCGTGTGGGGGGATGAGTAGAGCTGTGTGAGGGTTGAGTGGGTGTGTGTGGGGGGTTTGAATGTGTGTATGCGTGCGTTTGAGTGTGTGTGGGTGGGTTGGGGGGGGGGGGGGGGGTGTTGAATGCGTGCGTGTGTGTGAGAGCAGGAGGAGATGACCAAGTTCCTCAACACGCTCAAGCCGGACAACGTATTCCGAGCTATACATGGGGAGGTACGCGTGCCACCCACCCCCTCAGCCCCTCGCTGCCCTCACGTCCTTCCCCACGCCTCATCCACCTCGAGCACACGATTGCCCCTCCCTTCCCCCCTCCATGCGCATCGCACCACATGCCGCTCTTGCACCATATCCTTGTACCGTCTTCCTCCCTCCCCCACCAGTCGCATGGCCTGGCCATCCGCCAGCGCGTGGCGTTCTCGGTGTCCAAGGCGCCGCGCCGCCTGGCGTCCGCCGTGTCGGGCGACATCTTCCGATTCGTGGGCCGGGTGAGGAGGGGGGTTGCTTAAAGGGGTGAGAGGCAGGGCGAGCGGGAATGCAGTGAGAGGCGGGGGTGGATGGGGCTGGCGAGGGAGATGCTCTGCACCGCCCACTATTGCCTGCTGCCTGCTGCGTGCTGCGTGCTGCGTGCTGCTGGATCCAATTGGGACCGTGTGAGAGTGATGTCATCTGTGTTTGTGCCGGTTGCCTCGTGTTCCTCAACCCCTGTTTCCCCCAGCATCCCACTTCCCTGTCACTTGAACGCCCCACGTCCACGCCCCACAGCACACCACCCATGCTCTCCCACACGGTCACACCCTTCCCCCTGCCATCCCACCACCCCCCCTCCCCCCGGTGCGCCCATCAGGCGATGGCGCGCGCCAAGGAGGGCGAGGTGGTGCTACTGCCGCACGCGCTGGTGGACGCCCACATCCGCAACGACGCCGCCATGCTAACTGATAGCGCTGCTGGCTCTGGCGGTGGCGAGGGCGGCAAGCAGCCGTACGCGGTTTACGTGCTGAACCCACGCATGATGCCACGGCGCTACGCGTACTCGTATGGCTCTGTGTCCGACACAGTGTGCCCCGGGACCAGCTTCCAGGACGAGGTCAGTCCGTCAGCGGGGATTGTGTGTGTGGCACGTGGTGCCGTCCCTCTCCATCCAACCAACCCAACACACATACCCCTCCCCACACACTCCACACCCATCTCTGCACACCCCTCTCCACACCTTCTCTCTCCATCCCCAGCTCTCCGCACCTCTCCCCACCTCCTCTCCCCACCTCCTCTCCCCACCTCCTCTCCCCACCTCCTCTCCCCACCTCCTCTCCCCACCTCCTCTCCGCACCTGCTCTCCCCGTACCGCGTCTCCCACACCCCTTGTCCATGGCCCCGTCACATTTGCACCCCTGCCCCCACCACCCGCCTGCCCCCATCACCCGCCTGCCCCCATCACCCGCCTGCCCCCATCACCCGCCTGTGTGTTCACCTCGCAGCAAGCCCCATGCACGTGGCCACCATGCCTCGTATCCCCTCCCCATGCCCTCTCCTGCCCCGTCCCCCACCCCCCTCTCCCAGCGCGACCTGTGGGCACACCTGATGGCGGGCCCAGTGCACCTGATGGCGGGCCCAGTGCACTACGGCGCCATGCCACTTGTCGCTCCACCCCTGCTCCCCCTGTCTCTCTGCCCCCCTGCCTCCCTCTGCCACCCTGTCCACCCTGTCCACCCTGTCCACCCTGTCCACCCTGTCCACCCTGTCCCCATGCCCCCGTGCACAGCGCTACCTGTGGGTGGACCTGACGGCAGGCCCGGTGAGCTACGGGCCGGTGTGGGAGGGCGAGGGGGCCGTCACTGCGGCGGCGTACCTCCGAGCCGAGGACTACAGCAACGACCTGCTGCACGGGGTGAGGTGGCATGCTCCACGGGGTGAGGTGGCATGCTGCACGGGGTGAGGTGGCCTGCTGCACGGGGTGAGGTGGCGTGCTGCACGGGGTGAGGTGGCATGCTGCGCGTGGTGAGGTGGCATGCTGCACGTGGTGAGGTGGCATGCTGCACGTGGTGAGGTGGCATGCTGCACGAGGTGAGGTGGCATGCTGCACGGGGTGAGGTGGCATGCTGCACGTGGTGAGGTGGCATGCTGCACGTGGTGTGGGGTGCACGGGGTGAGATGAGATGAGAGGGGCCTGCTGCATGGGGTGGGGCGGATGATGGGGCCAGTGTAGGGTGAGATGAGAGAGCAGCGTGCTGCACGGGGTAAGGTGGACGCACTGCATGGTGGGGGGTCACAGCACCTGGCGTGTGCGGCAAGAAGGGGGGCTTGGATCATGGGGTGAGAGGGGGCTTGGAGCATGGGGTGAGAGGGGGCTTGGAGCATGGGGTGCATGGGGTAAGGCGAGGACCCACTAGTTACCGCCCCCTGTTCCCCCATCTGCTGTTACACACCAACCAACCACCACTCTCCATCTCCCCTCTCCCCAACTCACAGGCGTATTTACCGCACATGGCGGCGCTCACCAACAGTGTGGCGCGTCGCGTGTGTGCCCATGCTGCTGCATGCCCACCCGCTTCCCATCTCACCCGCTCACCCCACCTTCCCACCCCCCCCACCCAGGCGTTCCTAGCGCACGTGGCGGCGCTGATTGATAGCGCCACGCGCCACGTGTTTGTGCCACCGCTGCTGCACGTGCCCGTGACGTACGCCGTGACCACCGACATCTGGCTCATCGCCATGCGCTCCGGCGTGGGGGACGGCGAGGCGGGCGGCGGGGAGGACATGGGGCTCAGCCTGGGGGCGATCAAGGACGAGGTGAGGGGGCGCGCGTGAGCATGGGTGTTTGTGAGCACGGGTGCATGCATGTGAGCACGGGTGCATGTGAGCACACGTGCATCTGAGGCTCTAAGGTCCTTTGCTGCCTGAGATTCTCACTAATTGCCCTGACGGCCCATCCTCCTTCATTTGCCGCCCGTCTCCATTCATTCTGGCTTCATTTCTATAAGTACCTACAATCTTCCCACTCACTCTGCTTGTCCCCTGCACCTCTTGGTCCCCATCCCACCCCTGGCCGTGCCAGCTGCTATCGCGCTGGCCGGCGGTGGTGCTGGCGGGGCAGCAGGTGCGCTTCAAGGAGGTCGTGCTCTCCCTCGCCCACTGCTCCTTCTGCTCCACCGCTCTGCACCGCGCCATGAGGGTATGTGCGCTGCACCGCTCTGCACCACGCCATGAGATGAGGGTATGTGCGCTGCCCCGCTCTGCACCGCGCCATGAGGGTATGTGCGCTGCACCCCTCTGCACCGCGCCATGAGGGTACACTCTGTGCGACGCCACTAGGGTACTTTTCATCGCACGACCTTTTGCTTCTCTCATGTGTGCTGCGTGTTGTCCGCCGCCCACTTATCTCAGTCCAGGTGGCCCTTTTCCTCCTCTTCTCTCCCCTCCCCCCTCAACCCCACCAGTCGGGGCTATTCGAGGCCACCACTGCCTCCACCGGCGCTGCTCCCAGCTCAGCAGCGGGCATGCCAGGTGGCACGGAGGTGTGGCGCCACGTGGACTCGGAGGATCTGCACCACTACCTGTCGGAGTTCTGGCCTGAGATCACCGGTGAGCCGCTGCTGGCCAGATCACATGCACGGGTGGTAGTGGGCAGTGGTTGCAGTGGTTGCAGATGGTTGCAGTGGTTGCAGTGGTTGCAGTGGGTGTGGCACGAGTGCAGTGCAGGACAGTTGTGGTAATGCTGGGTGTGAGTCACCGGTGGCAGCTGGGTTGGACTCTACCTGGTTGATGGACTCGACGAAGGCGAGGCGATCTTGTGCCGCTGGTGCGTTCATTGTATTGTGTGCGAGCACCACGGTGCATGGGAGCACCACGGTGCATGGGAGCACCACGGTGCATGGGAGCACCACGGTGCATGGGAGCACCACGGTGCATGGGAGCACCACGGTGCATGGGAGCACCACGGTGCATGGCAGCACCACGGTGCATGGGAGCACCACGGTGCATGGGAGCACCACGGTGCATGGCAGCACCACGGTGCATGGCAGCACCACGGTGCATGGGAGAACCACGGTGCATGGGAGAACCACGGTGCATGGGAGAACCACGGTGCATGGGAGCACCACGGTGCATGGGAGCACCACGGTGCATGGCAGCACCACGGTGCATGGCAGCACCACGGTGCATGGGAGCACCACGGTGCATGGGAGCACCACGGTGCATGGGAGCACCACGGTGCATGCGAGCACCACGGTGCATGGGAGCACCACGGTGCATGGGAGCACCACGGTGCGTGGGAGCACCACGGTGCATGGGAGCACCACGGTGCATGGCAGCACCACGGTGCATGGGAGCACCACGGTGCATGGCAGCACCACGGTGCATGGCAGCACCACGGTGCATGGCAGCACCACGGTGCATGGCAGCACCACGGTGCATGGGAGAACCACGGTGCATGGGAGCACCACGGTGCATGGGAGCACCATGGTGCATGGGAGCACCACGGTACATGGGAGCACCACGGTGCATGGCAGCACCACGGTGCATGGCAGCACCACGGTGCATGGGAGCACCACGGTGCATGGGAGCACCACGGTGCATGGGAGCACCACGGTGCATGGGAGCACCACGGTGCATGGGAGCACCACGGTGCATGGGAGCACCACGGTGCATGGCAGCACCACGGTGCATGGCAGCACCACGGTGCATGGGAGAACCACGGTGCATGGGAGAACCACGGTGCATGGGAGAACCACGGTGCATGGGAGCACCACGGTGCATGGGAGCACCACGGTGCATGGGAGCACCACGGTGCATGGGAGCACCACGGTGCATGGGAGCACCACGGTGCATGGGAGCACCACGGTGCATGGGAGCACCACGGTGCATGGGAGCACCACGGTGCATGGGAGCACCACGGTGCATGGGAGCACCACGGTGCATGGGAGCACCACGGTGCATGGGAGCACCACGGTGCATGGCAGCACCACGGTGCATGGCAGCACCACGGTGCATGGGAGAACCACGGTGCATGGGAGAACCACGGTGCATGGGAGAACCACGGTGCATGGGAGCACCACGGTGCATGGGAGCACCACGGTGCATGGCAGCACCACGGTGCATGGGAGCACCACGGTGCATGGGAGCACCACGGTGCATGGGAGCACCACGGTGCATGGGAGCACCACGGTGCATGCGAGCACCACGGTGCATGGGAGCACCACGGTGCATGGGAGCACCACGGTGCGTGGGAGCACCACGGTGCATGGGAGCACCACGGTGCATGGCAGCACCACGGTGCATGGGAGCACCACGGTGCATGGGAGCACCACGGTGCATGGGAGCACCACGGTGCATGGGAGCACCACGGTGCATGGGAGCACCACGGTGCATGGGAGCACCACGGTGCATGGGAGCACCACGGTGCATGGGAGCACCACCGTGCATGAGAGCATTGACTGTAACGCTTATGATTGCAATAGGCACTAACCTTTTTTGTGTTCTCTTTCACCCGCTCTCCCGTCCCTCATTCCTCTTGTTCTTTCTCCGCACTCCGTACGCTATCTTTCTCTTGTCATACTCCGCTTCATCTTCCCCACTCGCCCTGCTCTTTATCTCCCCCCTGTGCCCCCCCCCAGACCTGGCGGGCATGCCCAACCCCGACTACGTGGAGCGGAACGACCCCAACCCGCACGCGGGGCGCTTCTTCCCTGTCTTCCTCTTCGACCTCCACACCGCTGAACCGCTGCTGCTGGACGGCCGCCACCGGGTGAGGCGTGTGTGCCATGGTGGCACAGCAGTGGTAGAATGGGATGAGGTGCACGGTGCCACAGCCATGGTGGAATCGAATGAGGTGCACGGTGCCACAGCCATGGTGGAATCGAATGAGGTGCACGGTGCCACAGCCATGGTGGAATCGAATGAGGTGCACGGTGCCACAGCCATGGTGGAATCGAATGAGGTGCACGGTGCCACAGCCATGGTGGAATCGAATGAGGTGCACGGTGCCACAGCCATGGTGGAATCGAATGAGGTGCACGGTGCCACAGCCATGGTGGAATCGAATGAGGTGCACGGTGCCACAGCCATGGTGGAATCGAATGAGGTGCACAGTGCCACAGCCATGGTGGAATCGAATGAGGTGCACGGTGCCACAGCCATGGTGGAATCGAATGAGGTGCACGGTGCCACAGCCATGGTGGAATCGAATGAGGTGCACGGTGCCACAGCCATGGTGGAATCGAATGAGGTGCACGGTGCCACAGCCATGGTGGAATCGAATGAGGTGCACGGTGCCACAGCCATGGTGGAATCGAATGAGGTGCACGGTGCCACAGCCATGGTGGAATCGAATGAGGTGCACGGTGCCACAGCCATGGTGGAATCGAATGAGGTGCACGGTGCCACAGCCATGGTGGAATCGAATGAGGTGCACGGTGCCACAGCCATGGTGGAATCGAATGAGGTGCACGGTGCCACAGCCATGGTGGAATCGAATGAGGTGCACGGTGCCACAGCCATGGTGGAATCGAATGAGGTGCACGGTGCCACAGCCATGGTGGAATCGAATGAGGTGCACGGTGCCACAGCCATGGTGGAATCGAATGAGGTGCACGGTGCCACAGCCATGGTGGAATCGAATGAGGTGCACGGTGCCACAGCCATGGTGGAATCGAATGAGGTGCACGGTGCCACAGCCATGGTGGAATCGAATGAGGTGCACGGTGCCACAGCCATGGTGGAATCGAATGAGGTGCACGGTGCCACAGCCATGGTGGAATCGAATGAGGTGCACGGTGCCACAGCCATGGTGGAATCGAATGAGGTGCACGGTGCCACAGCCATGGTGGAATCGAATGAGGTGCACGGTGCCACAGCCATGGTGGAATCGAATGAGGTGCACGGTGCCACAGCCATGGTGGAATCGAATGAGGTGCACGGTGCCACAGCCATGGTGGAATCGAATGAGGTGCACGGTGCCACAGCCATGGTGGAATCGAATGAGGTGCACGGTGCCACAGCCATGGTGGAATCGAATGAGGTGCACGGTGCCACAGCCATGGTGGAATCGAATGAGGTGCACGGTGCCACAGCCATGGTGGAATCGAATGAGGTGCACGGTGCCACAGCCATGGTGGAATCAAATGAGGTGCACGGTGCCACAGCCATGGTGGAATCGAATGAGGTGCACGGTGCCACAGCCATGGTGGAATCGAATGAGGTGCACGGTGCCACAGCCATGGTGGAATCGAATGAGGTGCACGGTGCCACAGCCATGGTGGAATCGAATGAGGTGCACGGTGCCACAGCCATGGTGGAATCGAATGAGGTGCACGGTGCCACAGCCATGGTGGAATCGAATGAGGTGCACGGTGCCACAGCCATGGTGGAATCGAATGAGGTGCACGGTGCCACAGCCATGGTGGAATCGAATGAGGTGCACGGTGCCACAGCCATGGTGGAATCGAATGAGGTGCACCGTGCCACAGCCATGGTGGAATCGAATGAGGTGCACGGTGCCACAGCCATGGTGGAATCGAATGAGGTGCACGGTGCCACAGCCATGGTGGAATCGAATGAGGTGCACGGTGCCACAGCCATGGTGGAATCGAATGAGGTGCACGGTGCCACAGCCATGGTGGAATCGAATGAGGTGCACGGTGCCACAGCCATGGTGGAATCAAATGAGGTGCACGGTGCCACAGCCATGGTGGAATCGAATGAGGTGCACGGTGCCACAGCCATGGTTGAATCGAATGAGGTGCACGGTGCCACAGCCATGGTGGAATCGAATGAGGTGCACGGTGCCACAGCCATGGTGGAATCGAATGAGGTGCACGGTGCCACAGCCATGGTGGAATCGAATGAGGTGCACGGTGCCACAGCCATGGTGGAATCGAATGAGGTGCACGGTGCCACAGCCATGGTGGAATCGAATGAGGTGCACGGTGCCACAGCCATGGTGGAATCGAATGAGGTGCACGGTGCCACAGCCATGGTGGAATCGAATGAGGTGCACGGTGCCACAGCCATGGTGGAATCGAATGAGGTGCACCGTGCCACAGCCATGGTGGAATCGAATGAGGTGCACGGTGCCACAACCATGGTTGAATCGAATGAGGTGCACGGTACCACAGCCATGGTGGAATCGAATGAGGTGCACGGTGCCACAGCCATGGTGGAATCGAATGAGGTGCACGGTGCCACAGCCATGGTGGAATCGAATGAGGTGCACCGTGCCACAGCCATGGTGGAATGGAATGAGGTGCACGGTGCCACAACCATGGTTGAATCGAATGAGGTGCACGGTACCACAGCCATGGTGGAATCGAATGAGGTGCACCGTGCCACAGCCATGGTGGAATCGAATGAGGTGCACCGTGCCACAGCCATGGTGGAAGCAGGTGAGGTGCACGGCTGGGCTGGTAAGCATGGGCTAGAACCACTAGAAGCCGCATGGCCAATGCTGGTGCTGCTCAACACAGACACGAGCTGCACATATCAGCGAGGTGCAATGCGGTGAGGTGCAATGAGGTGAGGGAAAAGGATGTAGGTGGTGCAGGTTGATGGTATGCATGAGTCAGTCCCCTTGTCCAGCTGACCCCCCCTCATTTCCATTATTCCATTATTCTAATCTCCCCACCTCTCTCCCCACCTCTCTCCCCACCTCTCTCCCCACCTCTCTCCCCACCTCTCTCCCCGCTTGTCCCCCTCTCTACCTCTGCTTCTCCCCCCACCTCTCCCCCCACCTCTCCCCCCACCTCTCCCCCACGTCCCCCGGTGTGCTGTGCGCCAGGCCCTGGCGTACGATGACATGGTGCTGGCCGTGCGCACCAAGGCGCCACCCATGCTGGCCGAGTACAGGTGAGATGCTGGCCGAGTACAGGTGAGATGCTGGCCGAGTACAGGTGAGATGCTGGCCGATTACAGGTGAGATGCTGGCCGAGTACAGGTGAGATGCTGGCCGAGTGCAGGTTAGATGCTGGCAGAGTACAGGTGAGATGCTGGCCGAGTACAGGTGAGATGCTGGCCGAGTACAGGTGAGATGCTGGACGAGTGCAGGTTAGATGCTGGCAGGGTACAGGTGAGATGCTGGCAGAGTACAGGTGAGATGCTGGCCGAGTAGAGGTGAGATGCTCGCTGAGTACAGGTGAGATGCTGGCCAAGTACAGGTGAGATGCTGGCCGAGTAGAGGTGAGATGCTGGCCGAGTAGAGGTGAGATGCTGGCCGAGTACAGGTGAGATGCTGGCCGAGTACAGGTGAGATGCTGGCCGAGTGCAGGTTAGATGCTGGCAGAGTACAGGTGAGATGCTGGCCGAGTACAGGTGAGATGCTGGCCGAGTACAGGTGAGATGCTGGCCGAGTGCAGGTTAGATGCTGGCAGAGTACAGGTGAGATGCTGGCAGAGTACAGGTGAGATGCTGGCCGAGTACAGGTGAGATGCTGGCCGAGTACAGGTGAGATGCTGGCCGAGTACAGGTGAGATGCTAGCCGAGTGCAGGTGAGATGCTGGCAGAGTACAGGTGAGATGCTGGCCGAGTACAGGTGAGATGCTGGCTGAGTACAGGTGAGATGCCGGCCGAGTACAGGTGAGATGCTGGCCGAGTACAGGTTAGATGCTGGCCGAGTACAGGTGAGATGCTGGCCGAGTACAGGTGAGATGCTGGCCGAGTACAGGTGAGATGCTGGCCGAGTACAGGTGAGATGCTGGCCGAGTGCAGGTTAGATGCTGGCAGAGTACAGGTGAGATGCTGGCAGAGTACAGGTGAGATGCCGGCCGAGTACAGGTGAGATGCTGGCTGAGTACAGGTGAGATGCTGGCCAAGTACAGGTGAGATGCTGGCCGAGTGCAGGTGAGATGCTCGCAGAGTACAGGTGAGATGCTGGCCGAGTAGAGGTGAGATGCTGGCCGAGTAGAGGTGAGATGCTGGCAGAGTACAGGTCAGATGCTGGCCGAGTACAGGTGAGATGCTGGCCGAGTACAGGTGAGATGCTGGCCGAGTACAGGTGAGATGCTGGCCGAGTACAGGTGAGATGCTGGCCGAGTGCAGGTGAGATGCTGGCAGAGTACAGGTGAGATGCTGGCCGAGTACAGGTGAGATGCTGGCCGAGTACAGGTGAGATGCTGGCCGAGTACAGGTGAGATGCTGGCCGAGTACAGGTGAGATGCTGGCCGAGTACAGGTGAGATGCTGGCCGAGTACAGGTGAGATGCTGGCCGAGTACAGTTGAGATGCTGGCCGAGTGCAGGTTAGATGCTGGCAGAGTACAGGTGAGATGCTGGCCGAGTACAGGTGAGATGCTGGCCGAGTACAGGTGAGATGCTGGCCGAGTACAGGTGAGATGCTGGCCGAGTACAGGTGAGATGCTGGCAGAGTACAGGTGAGATGCTGGCCGAGTAGAGGTGAGATGCTGGCCGAGTAGAGGTGAGATGCTGGCAGAGTACAGGTGAGATGCTGGCCGAGTACAGGTGAGATGCTGGCCGAGTACAGGTGAGATGCTGGCCGAGTACAGGTGAGATGCTGGCCGAGTACAGTTGAGATGCTGGCCGAGTGCAGGTTAGATGCTGGCAGAGTACAGGTGAGATGCTGGCAGAGTACAGGTGAGATGCTGGCCGAGTACAGGTGAGATGCTCGCTGAGTACAGGTGAGATGCTGGCCAAGTACAGGTGAGATGCTGGCCGAGTGCAGGTGAGATGCTGGCAGAGTACAGGTGAGATGCTGGCCGAGTACAGGTGAGATGCTGGCCGAGTACAGGTGAGATGCTGGCCGAGTGCAGGTGAGATGCTGGCCGAGTACAGGTTGTTGGAGATAGGTGGCAATGTTGCACATTTGTGTGTTAGTCATTTGTTTGTTTAGGGTTAGGAATGTTTGTTAGGTTGGGTGTAGCTTTGTTCTCTCCAACCTATCCCAACCCAATCCATTCCAAATCCCCACGATTTGGGAGGATTCCCTGGGGATTCCCTCCGATTCCCCTAATCCCTTCCAACCCTCTCCTATGGTTAGTACTTAAGCTCGTATGCCCTCTCTCATTTTAATCAATCAAATCAAAGTCCTGTTTTCATACATGGTATCAGAGCTCGTTTCCGCCTAAGCGGCTCTTGATCCTCTCGCTCCGTTGGAGCTTAGCATTTGCGTCTTATGACGCAAAGATTTTCTAGCCGCCTTAACTCAGCACGGCGCTTCTCTTCGGGCTGACGCCCGTCGCCCCACGTCTGCGCGGCTCTTCTCTTCGGGCTGACGCCCGTCGCCCCGCATCTGCGCGGCGCTTCTCCTCGGGCTGACGCCTGTCGCCCCGCATCTGCACGGCTCGTCTCTTCGGGCTGCCGCCCGTCGCCCCGCATCTGCTCATCGCACCTGTCTCGGGCCGTCGCCCGTCGCCCTGCATCTGCGCGTCGAAGCTGAACGGGCTGCCGCCCGTCGCCCTTGCAACGGCAGGGGGTCTCAGCGGCGTAGCAGAATGGGAGCAGCAGCGGGTGCAGCAGCGGGTGCAGCGGCGTAGCAGTACAGAAGCAGCAGTTTTGACCACTATTTAGTGACTTTCCGGACGGCTCGTTTCCTATTGAGTTCCGACAAATCGACACTCCGAGCATTGAAAACCCGCTCCGAGCGTTGAAGTTCCTATCGGCGACTTAAGAATTGCGCTCCGCGCTGGAGAAAGGGGCCCTTTACACCGTGGCCTTCCCCTCCGCGTCCCTTGGTACCCCAATCACGCCGTTGCGCCTTGACCTCAACGGCACAAGCCCCAATTTCAAGGAATGGAGCGAGAGGGGGGGCGTGGGGTTTGGGGGTGTTTAGCGCCATGCGGGGGGGGGGGAGGAGGTGGTGGTGGGGCGGGTGGTTCTTTTGGTGGGCAGATCCAGTAGGTTATAAGGGGGGGGGGGAGTTGGGTTACACAATGACCACAGGCTTAGGGAAGGGTGGGGGGGGGACTGGTGGGGTGGCTCGTTTACCGCGGGGTCCTCTACGATGCGAAAGGAGCTGTTGGTGCTGTTGTAAAATATATATCTATACAACATGCATGCCTAGATTAGGAGGTGTGGTCATTATAATTATTGGGGGGTTGTTGGTTGGGTTGACCAACCCCACATTTGGGTGGGTCAAGATTGGATTTGGTCCTAGACATTTGGTTGGCACTATTCCAACCAAATGGTCCTTGGTCCTAGGAACCAACCAATCACCAAGCACCACATTTTGTGGTTGCTTGCCTTCCAAGCAATCTCTCTCATTGGTCCACATGGTGGCCAATTGGAGAGCACAACACTTAGTGGTTGCTTGCCCTACAAGTAACCTCTCTCATTGGTCCACTTTATGGCCAATAGGAGAGCTTCCATTCCAACTCTTCCTTGCTCCTTGTTTTGTACAAAAGAGCCTCTTGGCTCCCTACTCAATTCAATCTTTTCTCTTCGAAGCTAGTTCCTTTAGGTGCTGGCGATGAACTCGACGATCACCTGACGCAAACGCGGCTCCGACACACGTGGGCCAAGGAACCGGTCCATCGTGGGCTGCCTCGCGTCCGCCGCTGCCGGTGACAGGGACGGGATGGTGGCGCCAGGGGGGGGTGCGGCCAAGTCTTGGACCACTCGTTGGGCGCCTTCCCATCAGGGACATGTGGGTATCCCCCCATCGGAAATGACTCTCCTGGCTCAAGACCCTCGACCACGCGCCGCTGCCATATGTCCCAGTGTGGGCAATGGTGTCTCGCCATATGTTTGGCACCCGTGCTGGTCTGGCTGTCCTTGAAGCCCATCGGCTTCTCGCACATCTTGCACACTCGCTTTCTCTCGCTCCCCAAAAAACTCTCTGCCACACGCTTGTTGCTCCTCTTTGCCCCAACCTTACGGTTCTTTTTCTGTCTTTTCCTTCTCCCCTCCTGCTCAACGCCTGGGTCCACCTCCTCAGCCCCATCCGCACGCCCTCCCCTGCCCTGAAACCCAACGGCAGGTGCAGCGCGCTCCCCCCCCTCCTCCCCACCCCTCCTCCTCCCCTTTGCGCCTGTCCCTGGCCGTCGCCCAACCCCTCTCCCTTCCTGACGCTGCCTCTCCCCTTGGCGCTCTCCCCCCCCCCCACTCCCACCCATTCCCTTCTTGGACCGACCCTCCCCCTCCTCCCCCTCCTCCTCCTCCTCCTCCTCCTCCTCCTCCTCCTCCTCCTCCTCCTCCTCCTCCTCCTCCTCCTCCTCCTCCTCCTCCTCCTCCTCCTCCTCCTCCTCCTCCTCCTCCTCCTCCTCCTCCTCCTCCTCCTCCTCCTCATCCTCCTCCACCACCAATCCCTCCATCTCGTGCTCATCATCCCCCTCCTCCTCTTCCTCCTCCTCATACTCGCTGCCGCTAGATTTTCCGCTCTCCCGCTCCTCCGACTCGCTCCCATCCCTCTCATCGCCACCGCTCTCCCGGCTGCGGCGAGCTTGTGCGCGCTTGACCCTCCTCCCCTCCCCCTGGGCTCTCCCCCCACCTCCCCCTTGTCCCATCCCCTGCCGAGAGAGGAGGAAATCCATCCACTCCTCAGGCATGTGGGGCATGGCTCCACCTCCATCGGTCGCATTCGCCCTCGAACTCACACCCCCCTGGTCCCCCACCGCCTCATCTGTGCCCGCTACACGATCCCTCTCCGGCCCCCCTTGCCTAGCCGCTGTTGCCTTGGTCTTTGCCATGTGCAATGCAAGATCGCGCACCCCCAAATGCGTGCGCTTAACTTATGTAATCGTGCGCCCTAATCAAGTGTTACCAAGCGCCCTACAACCTTCAGCATTGCAGGACTAGGCCTAAACGGACGCACGCCCAAGCCTAAACCCTAGCGTGCGCATACCACGAGCCAAGGCCTCTGTGGCGCGCCTAGTGTTGTCGCACCAAAGCCTCGGTGGCC